AATCTTTCCTAAACAAACGCATGCGTTATATTGGTGCAGGGATAGGTCGGACAGGCACATTTTAACAAACATTAACCTGGAGTCTAAACATTGATTTCTTGTAAATGTGCAAAATATCGAATGCAATGTCAATACACATTGTGTTTAATTATATTTGAGTTTTCGTTGATGATGTTGATTTGGGCTTTGGTCTTGTTTATTTTCACTAGACAAATTTATGACTGGGTAGACATTCTCAATCACGACACGTAGCAGTTATTTGTCTCTTGATATACTGTCGTGAATTTCTAGAACTTATTTGTACAATTGTAAATGCTTTCAGCATATTCTGACATCTTGCTCTGATAGTACTTAAACGGTCCGATTTCAAAGTAGTAAAATCACTTACATTGTTAATAGTATTAAGTTTAGATGGACGTTTAAATCGTTATTTTCTCTTTAATCTCTTTAACGTCTTATGATTTAGAAAAACAACAGATATTTATAAAAAAACGCAGCATTTAATAAAATAACGACGTGTTTGAACAGCTTCAAGAAGTTGAAAGATGTTCACTATTATACTACCGGAAAATGCAGTTTGTTTGTAGGGCCCAAAATACAGAATCGCCAAGAAGAACAATCAGTACAATTATAATGTTAAGCTTCGAAAAATATCTGGTAGGCGGTCATGGCAATATTTTATACCTATTGCTATCGGACATGCTTTTTTTATTGCAATTAAATTACAATTACAGTCGGTTGCTGCGGAACCTTTCTCTATAGTGTAGGGTTCGTTTTTTCGTGTCATTAGGTATCTACATACATAACCAAATACTTACATTCAAATGTTGTACACACGTTGTACAATATTTTTTATTTCAATTTGACTTTCCCAATCATGTTAAAAAGATATGTTTGAATCGATTGAAATATTTATCATTGGATTATTACGGATTTACAGATTAGATAAATCAGAGTTATTTGTGATCATATTTTATATCTTAAGTGTTTCAGAAAATATCGTTATATCGATCCGTACGTCAATGTATATTATGCAAATAAAACTATTTTCTTTTGGATTATCTACGACTGAATGAAAGACAAGGATTGGCGGCTTTATTTTAGCCTGTTTTCAAACATAATAGAAGAGAAACTAATAAATACAGCTTTAAGGCGATATATAATTATAGTAGTATCTATATAATAATAGTATCGTTTTAAAACGGCTAAAACCTGGACCCCGTACCACATCCATGAAGAACACACCTAATGTACTTGATGAATATAGAACTTGAAATTCTCGTAGCTCCTAGATTTAATTTGTTAGTTCAATAACATAAACATAAATTTAGTGCACAATATATCGGAACTCCTCTTAACGCACTCTTTCAATTACATTGACCAAACACGACGCATTCATATAAAACCATATCCGAGATAGAGGAATATAAAAGACAACAAGATGTCAAAACAAGGTCTAGCAACCAGAGACCTAAATAACCGTCGACTGTTCTTGTATACAATCATACAATTTATTACTTCAAATGTATTTAGCATAACATTTAATATTTACTTATTGTGCATATTTGTAACATTCTATTCTATTCAAAATTCTATTCAAAAATAGACTAAGATATTATATATTTTTTGTTAAATATAGACACATTAATTGGATATGAATTGAATAATTGGATATGGTAACATTAAAAGTAATATGTGTTAATATTTCAATTGAATTCGGGCCATGAATTTCAACAGTTTTCTTTAAATAAATAACTGTTAAATGGATATTTCATTCATGTCCTTATAGTTTGAAGTGCACAGTTTGGCTTTTAATCAAAACATTTTTTTATAAAATCGATAAGTTTAAACCAATTAAATATATTGCCACCCGATAAACTAAAAGGTACGAACTTGAAACCTAGTATGGTTTATGTTAGACGAGATAGTAACTCGATATTCAACTGTTGATACATTTATTGACAGATTTTTATCTCTTCATTAATATAAAACAAAAGGAAAATAGTAATAATGATATTATGTAACGCGATTACTGCACGATATGAGTTATACATTATTGAGACAAAAAACAGAAGGAAATATTATATTTATGTATTGAAAATTGTTTAAATACTATTAAATACTATATAGTCATTAAGAAATATGCAGAGACCCCCCCTAAAAAAAAAAAAAAAAAAAAAAAAAATAAATAAATAAAAAATATAATAATATATATATATATATATACAATAATAAATAAATAAATAAATTAATTAAATTAATTAATTAATTAATTAATTAATTAATTAATTAATTAATTAATTAATAAAAACGAGAAAAATAATTTTATTTGGCTCTTCTGAATAAATTTACACCCGTTTGATTTGTTTTAATGCATTTTGACATCGTAATTGCCAAGTACAGTCGGATTCTATTTTTAAATGTAAGACTAGTTAAAAAAACAGAACTACAAATGCTACATCTTGATCTTAACATTTTTTTTCATCTCTTAGATAATTGTTTTTTTTTAAATATAGATCAATGAATAAAAGCTTCAAACAATTTAAAAAAAATGTTTCTGATTTTCCCGTTCACTATCGTTTAAAGCCCAATCTATACTTCACTAAGTCTTCAGAAAGTATATCGCACGGATAACAAAAGATGTCTACTAGTTTATCGTCACTTGCTACATTTCTTGCTTGGACGCCCTTTGATGCTTTTCATTAATGCTTTTCTTTTGCATGATTGAAATACTACACTTCTTCGTTGTCTGTAGAAATCGAGTTATTGTAGATATAGATTCAGTTGGGCAAATGAAACAAGAGGGCCATGATGGCCCTGAAGCCGGTCACCTGTATATAGCCCCCCGGAGCGGGGCCAATTTAAACCCCAAGGCTTTTATTTGAACTTGGTTGACACCCATTAGAAGATGTTTCATGCTAAATATCTAAGCTTGAATCTTTTAAAAGAAGATTTTAAGTTTTTACTACACACATATAGGGAAAAACAATATCTAAGCTTGATTTTTTTTAAATTTTTACTACACACATTTTATTTTAATTTATTTTATTTAATTTTAACCCCAGGGTTTTTATTTGAACAATCTTGGTAGACACCCATTAGAAGACGTTTCATTACATTATTAAAGCTGATGATCAGCGCGCGTTTCGTTCTGCTACAAGGATATCCATTTCACAATGCTTAAGAGATGTATTAAAAATCCAAACTATGTTTATTAGGTCAATAGCTCAATAAAATGTATTTACATGAAATTATATAGGGCTTTAAAATGCAGACAGGTCGATTATTACAAGTTTTAATTACAATTCATTGTTCAAATAAGAAGGCATTTAATTTATTTTGATATCTTGGGACTTATGTTTTATCCCATTTTAAATTTGACTTAATAATTTTGCACAATATGTTTTATACCTAAATTATTTTGATAAAATTACAAGAATGTTCACAGGATTTTTCGAAAATTTGTAAGTTATATTGTTTTCATACTTTGAAATTTCGTATTTGTTAAAAAAAAATAAACTGCGATAGTATTGGCATTATAAAGTGACAGTTTTCTAGTGCTTAACCTTTTGATATTTTTAACTTTTAAGAGAACTTTCGAGTTAGTGATACATAGTGTGTTGTATATAACAGTATATATTACAACTAGAAAAGCTGTTAAACTTGTAAAATATTCATCGCTGTATATAATAAAGTAACAACACAAATGTACTAGGTCATGTGTATGTTATAACAAGGAGATTCTTTGGAAAAATTGTTTATTAGATAATAGCACACTAAGAATCACTAAGTATTAAATATAGTTTGTGCATTTGAATCAGAATGGATAAAAGAGTCAAATTTAAGAAAAGGTAAATCATTTTTACAAGTTTATTATTCATTTAGACTTTTCTTAACGCATTTCCATTGCACTCGTAGTTTTCCATTTAAGCAAAAGTTCTATAAGTTTAGAAGGTACATAGAGGTTCGCGTATGTCGCTTAAAGCACAAATACACGGAAACTCGAGTTTAGTCTTCATCCAATGACTAGCAGTAAATTGTGTTCGAGTAGAAATCGAAACCATCAAGGCATTATGTTTTGGGTAAAAAAAGACGTATGGTTAACGGATATCAAATCTATTTATAGCAGGACGGACGGTTACCATGATTTAGAATATTTTGATATGGAACTTTTGTTTCGGGTGATTTTTGCTAGTACATGATCTGACGAGGCGAAGAAACATCGAGTTTTATCGGTTCCAGTAATAAATTATAAAAAAATCATTCTTTATTATATATATCATTCGTATTTAAACGTAGCGTAATATCATTAAGATAATACCGTCTGACCATATTCTATAAGAACATAATTCCGTATCCACGACAACAGCATCGTCATTTCATATCTACGACGACAGCATCGTCATTTTCTATCCACGACGACAGCATCTTTATTCGTACCACATTCGTATATTTTCCCTCTGTTCCCATCGTATTTGTGCATATCATACAAGCAGTAAATATTCACATATTGTATACACAAAGATAAATGAGATGATTGTTTGGACAGTACAAAACCTTCAGTTAGTGTGATACGTGAGAGTGTGATTACGCTTCTGACTAGAGATCACGAGCTCAATTTGCCTTTCTAAACGGTTTTTGTACGTTGACACCTAGTTATGTACACGACAAACTTAAAATCTGCAATGACAAATTCATTCTAAAAGATTTTAAATATCTCACTGTTATCTTAAAGCGCTGTCCATGAAGCCTACCTATTACAATTGTTACAATTGTATAAGACAATTATGTACAGAATATTTATAGGCATTTACAGTACCCTTTTGAAAATACAAAAAAAGAAAAGAAAAAAGAATACAAAGAAACGTGAAGACAAATAAACTATCACCTATCAAATATCTTTTAAATATTTTTTGTATTACATGAACAGATAAGTCATCGAACGAATATTTTCGGCTATATCTTATTTATTTTATATAGTTTTCCATTTTCCTTTTCAGTTATAACTCAGACGACATTCTGGACGAGATATATCCAGGTCCAATTGAGGGTGTTTACACTCCTCAACCAATGGACGCTCGTATAACACCACAATATGATGATGATTCTCCAATCGTAGGCCGCATCTCATCAGCTAGACCAAAGTCAAGGCTTAGAACATCCGGGCGTCCACAGTCTCGTTTAGACGTCGGTGTTCAGGTAGGTTTCTATCTTATATATTAATTCATCAAAAATCTCGTGTATATTCGGCTAATTTCGCCACTCTCCGTGTGCAATATTTATTTTCACAGATTCCAGTATTTTTTGTGTTGCATACAATATGCTTCTTTGATTTTTTGTTATTTGATTTTTCAACTCACATGTGGGAATCGTTGAAATTTGCCGAATTACACGTGATTGGCGGTGATGATGACTTTTATTAACCGCATTCATACCGTTAAAAACAACACCACCTAATATGACATCTTCACATTATTGAAAGATAACACGATTAAACTTATTGATTTTTTTTTAATTTATTATCAATTTCTTAGTGATCATGAGCATGAACTTTTATAACGATATATTTATAGTATGGATATTTCACGTTTTGTTTGTAGATATCACGATCCTTTTATATCAAACATAAATATAGACATATTGAACTTGACATAACAGTGCAAATAATTATTTTTAATAATAGATTACTTTAGAAAATATGTATGCTAGGAAAAATATAGCCATTTTATTGTTAAAATTAAATAACTCGTAATCAGCTCATTCATTATTGTGGATAAGATATAAAGTAAGTTTATTCAATGATGAAATGAGTAATAAATGGACATTTTCTTGTAGCCCCCTAGCCAGGATTATACCAAGGTTAGTTATGCACGCCCTCGGTTTATAGACGGTGTGTTAGCTATCAGCACGGTAACATGCATGCCTCCTGTCTGACATATTATTTAGCTTTAACGCTGCCACCTTCCCTGACCCTTTCCATGTCTATAACATTTGTATTGTTTTGAGGTACATGTACAAAGTAGATTTATAAAGCAAGACAAATGGTAACATTCAAAGCAACAATTTACCAAATAAAAGTTAGCAATTATTGTGCCAATTGTGCCAGCTGCGCTGATTTAGGTAAAGAGAAAAATCATAGTACAAGTGAAAAAATTGAAAGTGTTATATATACTAGATATTAATCAAAATTTTTGACAAGTTATATGATTATGTTGACTCACATAATCCGAGCCACTTGCATAGGATTACATTATAAAATGGCCATTTCAGATTTTAGTCTTTTATGTAAACATATATAATGCAGCACAATGCTTTTAAGTTACAAAACAAATACTATGTAAGTTTACAGCATGTATCTATATAGGTTATATAAAAGTCGCTATTATCCAATAAAAATCAACGTTACAAATTTAACATGCAGTGATACAATGCTATTTCTTTATTATTTGTATAAGTCAGTTAGTCAACATTTGGTTACTTGTTCTACATTTAAACATGTTTGTTAATTTTATCTTCCAACGGTTGACAGGGTTTACTACTTTAACTTATAGCATGGTTAGGTGTTTCTAGAAGATAAATTTGTATTGCCTTGATAGTTTATTTTTCTTGAATTTTATTATGTTTAGAGTACGTTGCAATGAAATTACGTTTATCTTCCGTTAAAAACAGCTTATATCTGCACTTAAAACTGTTTAGCCTGTGAACATAGTTTCATTATATATAACGCTTTTTAACAAAAAAAGTCCAAAAATACGTTCCTTTTTAAAGTATTTGAGTTTATGGTATATCTTCAGGGATTTGTTTAGACTACATGTATTTATATTGAAAATGGCATTTTTATATTTTGGAATACTAAGTTGCTCTTTCCTTATACTAAATGTGTTTCAAGTCTTGTGACATGTTTGCCATATGTCAGAATATGTATCTTTATATAAGGCAAATAAGTAACTTTAAACCAGAAACCTTGTCAAGTTAAGATGTTTTCTTTTTGAAGGATTTTTACAACACGCCACCAATACACGTAAGTTTATTATATCACATGGCATTTGCGCTCGTGTCAGTTTGCTGTTCAAATTTTCAGGTGAAAAATTTTATTTCTGTACAAATTAAGAAATGTTTGTTAAGAAAAATTGGAAAAGGTTATTAAACTGTAGCATTTATGTATAAACTTTTAGATAAAGGTAGGCTACTCTTGCAAAAAGTTTTCTTATATAATGTAAAAGTAGTCTCCCTTGTCCTATAACAAATTAAATAAGTGTACGTTAAACAGATACGTGCGTTTAAAATTTATTTCTACTTAAAATACAACTTAAAATAACACCTTAATCATAAATGATAATCACTAATTAATAAATGTATAATTTTCAGACATTTTATTTATGTTACAAGTGCAAATAGAAAAGTTCACGTCATTTGGAGTGATGTTTGGTAATTGTTGATTGTTTTCTGTGACCCTTAGATTTGATCAGGTGTAAATTTATTAAATCATGTATTTTTTTTACAATGCGAACCAATTAATAAAACAATATGTTTAAAATATAATCTAACAAACAGAAAACAGTCACCATTTGTTTTATTAGGTAGATGCTGAGATTTTTGTTTTTTTTTGGTAGTTGAAAAAAACGTAAATGTACGGTGTAATGTGTTTATTTGTAACCGCGTTATTTTTTAAAAACACTATACTGTATAAAGTCATTAAATCTTAAATGTTTGGAAGAATAGTGACTATGGTACTATGGGAACTAATTATCAGATTAGAATAATGTAGAATAATTTCTTTCTTTCAACCTTTTCTCGCATTATCATTTTCTCGGGTTTTGGGGATATAACTAATTTTAACGTTTTTAATTGTTTCATATTATTTTTAAGACTTAGTTATATTAGTATATATTTAGTACTATGTTAATACAGGTATAGAAGTCAATATAAAATGTTTCAAGACAGATTTCCATATGGATTCATCATTAATTATATGTAATAAGTTTAAACGTTTGTTTATGTATTACAGACAGAAAAGAAATCACGCCCTCAGATCTCGGAAACCCAGTATAACTATGCAATACCAGATGAGTCGATCCGACCTACATCCCCGGTCCAACGTCTTTTGAACAGATGGCATACCCAACCAAATATGTCAATGCAAGGACCACCACCAGGTTCACAAATGGACCCCATTACAAGACAGTATTACCACCGAGTATGGAGCTCTAAAAACCTTCCTTCGACTTCCAATGATGTGTAAGTGTATTCGACTATCATAAAAGTACGCGGAATATGTTTTGTCATGCATTATCTCCCTTATGGAAATGGTCGTTGACAAGTTACTCTATCAATCTTTGATATATTATGGACACATTGAATGTATTTATTTTAATGGTAAAACTGTCAATAGCTATGACACTGGACAGAAAAAATAACAAACAATGGTGAAACTGACTAAATAATCAAAAAGGCTTTTACATTAAAACTGTTTTTGTTTCAGTCTACATAATCAAAATGCATTAAAACTGAAACGGACGCATGCACAAACAATTTCCCTCAGCACATTCTCAAGTTTCCATCGCTGTAAGAGTTGAACATTCAACCACTTTACATGTGGTCTAGATGTAATTCTTACCGTTAAATCATTTCGATCCGATAAGAATTATGTCATAAAACGCAATTGTCTTTGTTATGCAATTATAATTATATACATGTATAAGAACTTTTCTTTTTTTCAAGGCATTTGAATAGATATGGACGAGCTGGTGGTGTATGGCGACACGTCCGCGCATGCGTGGCAAACACAGGAACACAGCTTGCATTTATAGACGGTAAAATAAACTTATCATAAATTAATTTAATTCAAAAAGAAAAGTTTACAAATCGTACCAAATTAGTTTACTTACATTTCTTCTAATTAAAGTTTGAAGTTAATCTCATCAATGTAATATCTTGCGAAATACCTCTGCTCTTACATATATAGTATCAGTGACTGATTTTTCAGTTATATATTATCTATCACAAATAAATGTGATAATTGTATAACCATTTTCTTGCTTTTCTGTTGTTAAACAGGTACAGTAAAGGAGGAAGACAACGTATTTTTCCCACCCTGGAAGAGCGCAAACACCTCCCTACAGAGGAGAGCGTCTTTCACCGCCTACAACAGTCAACCTAACCAAATATCGGCCAATTTTATACCCCCTACACAGAAGCACTTACCACCTAGATCGGCGAAATATAGGAACAAATACCACACGCATGCCAAGGAAGGCTTGAAATACTGGTATCAGGAACCTAAACCTATAGACTGTAAGTACATATTTAACAAAATGACTGATGTGAATGGGTGATGTAAATCTATTAAAGCGTGAATTACGTGCAACTTTAGCCATATGGTAACATACATACAACTCAAACCCTGACAGAAAAATCTGCTAATATTTTACTACGTTAGACTAAACTTTGTACGTATTTTTTCCCGAGAAAAAAGTAAAAGAAGTGGATTGATTTATAAATATTTTACTTATTCTAAAGTATGTAATTCAGGATGATATAATTTTGAGAATGCATAATAATATACAATATGACTCGTCTTTGTAATATAACATGATATTCTATATATGTAATGTAGCATTATATTTCGCGATATGGCATGAAATACTACGTTTATACAGCATGATACTATGCAATATGGCATGATACACTATGTAATATATGAAATGATACAATGTAATATAGCATGCTTCTGTGTTATATGGCATGATACTATGCAAAATGGAATGATATGCTATGTTTATACAACATGACGCTATGGATTATGGCATGATATTCTGTATGAAATCATACTAAAATGGCACGAAACTACGCAAAATAGCATGATATACATGGTGCAATGTAATGTTGCATGCAAAACGGCATTGTATACTATTTAGTAGTGCATGGTACTGTGAATATGGCATATTATTCTATGTAATGTGGTATTATTTCAGATTATAAGTGGGAATCTCTTAATTCATCATGATGGCATTCTGCTTTATACTGACGTATGTTAAGACTTGCGATGTACTTATACTGAAATCATAAACTAAGAAATTGTTGTGAAAATGTTTAAATAATTAATTAAGTTATTGATAAAGTTGATGTTTTGCTGATCAATCCTGGTTTTACAAAGAAAAAATGTCATAATAGCATGCTGCATGAATTGTGCCTACCGCACTTATGTTTGCTATTGATTAAAACTCTCTCATATAAATGTAATGTCTAATGTAAGACAATATGGGGCTACGATAAATCATTTTTGATTTTTCTAAATTGAATTAGTAATTTACACGTTCAATTATCCAACGAAGTAAAAATATTTTGTTAGAATCTAGCTTTCTGAATACATTTGTAATTATTTTTCAATTTAGCTAAGCGAATCGAACTCGCCCGCCGTCGCATTTTGATGAACCGGACAAAGCAACCGGCTTCGATTTGTTAATGACGTAAGGCATCTGACACAAACATTTAAATAGCACAGTAGTCAGTCCGTCCGTCAGTCAGTCACAATGCTTTTATATGTGCACCTTGTAGCTTCTCAAAACAATCTTAAATCTTCTTGATGCTTACGAAGTAGTTTTATTTGTACATTCCATTGTTTTCAAATATTACACTATGACTGTATAAATTCTTCTATCAGGTACAAAGCACTTTGTAAATCAGTGATCTTTTATCTGCAATATCCACTATGCGTTGGAGCTTAATGATTCAATTAAAGCATGTTAATTGTATAAAATTATTGTTTACACTAATCATTTATACGGATAATTATAAAGTTCATATGCATTTTATGCACATTAGTAGAGATGGGGGTAGAACGTGATTGATTGATTGATATACTTTCACATACATTTTACTCAATTTTGAAATGTAACACAATCTTATGCCATTCTCATTAACAAATATTTCACGTTAGTCTTGAAAAATCTTTGCATATATTTCTATTTCGCTCAGGGAGACAGAAAGATTTTATCTCTTTGAACGAGATTTCCAAACTTTTGAAGGTATATCAGTATGTTTGGACAGGCATTTTCAGTATTTTTGTGGTTTCATGTACATGTTTACTGTTATATTCACAGTTTCGCATCATGAACTTCATTACAACATATATTTATGATTTGTATTTTCTGGAACAAAAGAAATATCTAATAAATAACAAAATGAAATGACAATATTAGAATTAAACTTAATAACTTTTGTACACGACATTATTTGTCGTCAATGCCAATTTACCTATGAAAACATTGTGACGTAAACTGTGAATCAAACAAGTATGTAATTGTTATAAGTTAAAATAATAAGTGCGCTCCACATTATTACACGTGTAATCACATGTATAGCGAGTTAGGTTTACACATAATACACGTGCACAGATAATTGACCTTTACAGACTCTGCTAAATATTGTTTCGGTGCCAGAAGTCGCTGGATGGGAGTACCTGGCGAGTCCCTCCACCCTTTACCTGTCTAAACTTTTATAAAGGTGATGGATTTGGGTGATGCTAGTTTAAGATTGAAGAATTCATCTTTATCATATCACTGTAATTACACTGTTTCAATTATACAAAATGTTGATCGTCACACTTTCAGGCTACCTGGTGTTTTGCGTGTATTAATGACGAGTAAACTTTAATGTGGCAAATTTAGTTTTTTAGGAAATAACGAAAATAGGAAAGGGTTAAACAATATGTCGGTATACTGTACACTTAAACGTTTCCGTGTCTTCCGCATGTTTCTGTGACGAAATCATAAATATACAAAGTACACATGACTTTGGTGATTTCCTTAATTTTGTTTTGTGATTTTATAAAAAAAAAAGTCCTCATAGATGTTTTATGTAGTTTTTCTTTGCATTTTTATTTCTTTGAATTTTCATTTAATGTAGTTTTAGTAAATGATGTGATTTTGCAGAGTTACTGTTTGTTTATATTGCTTGATTTGCTTGACATAATCATAGACAGTAGAGGCTTACCTTGTGATGTTTTATGTAATATAAACATTATAATCATTTGATGTACGATTGATTTTCAGTGAGGAAACTTCACTTTAAAGAATAGGTATTTCTTAAATAAAAAAAATGTTAATCAACGTTTGTTTTTAGATTTGATTTTATTTTCTGTATGAAATATTGCTTTTTTCACATTCTGAAATATTGTAAGCATCTTCCTTTAATCCAAATAGATTTCTTTTTATAGTATTTTCCATCTACTGGTACTTTGTATACGGAAACGTATAGCGACCACCCTTATAATTTTTTTTATGATACATATCAAATGACCTTTTTTATAGTTTTATAGAATGTTTGTTATATGTAAATATGCTTTGAGGAAAGAAATACATATTTAAAAAGATGTAAGTGTTTGTCAGAAAGTTAAAAGTAGTTTATCTTGCATTATAAGATGAAAAACGTACGTTAGATTACGAAAAAATACGTATAATATATGATTTACGACATAACTTGATTTAACTGCTTCCTTTATCAAATACAAATGTCTTGACTTTTCTCGTGTCACACATCATATAAAACTATCCATTTATAGAAACTTACAAGAATGCGGTCAACATCAAATGTTATGGTGATGAAGCGCACGATATTTTATATTTTTCATAAAATCTCTTTTTTGCAAAATATTTATAATATGCAGTTAAAATGATAATTTCCACCAATTGAGCTACTCATTGATTTAAATTGGCTTGTACAGAGGATGTTACATGATAAAGATAAAAATGTAAAAAAGGCTTAATCAACCAGTTGCTAATAAAGATAATATATGCTGGTGATGGAGAGAAATCTTCGGTACGACAAACGATCTGCCATATTTGCGCGCGTAATGGAGGAGTCACATTCCTTAATCTTTGAGATACAGAAAGCCTCATTCAAAGGGCTGTAATCCATATATAACCTTTAAGAAAGCTTTAGATTGTGCAGGATTTTTCTGTCCTCATTATCAAATATAAATTGTAAAATATGTTACATTATATTTCATAATGATAGAGGTATGCGAATAAAAAACATCAAGTATAAATAACTAATACATATAAATGAACTGAAAAATTTCACATAAATTTTAATCCAGCAATATAAACAGCAGATTGAGTTCAAGATCATATAGCAATGTTAATATTGGTCAGATATATATCGTGTGTGTGTTCAATAAATTGTCTTAAATTCTGTTTTTACCAAAAATGCAGGGGCGGTAGATATAACGAGGTAAACGTTTCAGATCAAGTTAGTTTGTAAAAATTGGCTAGGTATATAATGTGTATTAAATAAATTGTCAAAAATCCTGTTTTAACTAACATGTAGGGGTGGTCGCTATACGTTTCCGTATTTGTATGTCCTCCTTGTGGTTCTTAAGCTCTTTGTAATAACCATAAAAACCGCTTAGGAAATTACCTGTAGCTATAGTTTTCGTGTAGATATTTTATGTTTATTTCTATATTATTCCAATAAAAATATATTTTCTGTATAAAACGTTATGTCGTCTTAACAATCAGAACAATCATTATATGCACATGATAAATATTAGTTATTATAATTATAAAGTAAGTCAGTAAGTATGGCAACTGAAATTTAAAAAAAAATCAAAGGGTATTCGAAATTTCTGTAAGTATAAGCTATGTAACATATTGCTTAATGTGCATGATCGTTTAATGTTAAGCATTTTACATGTGTTATATATTTAAATATATAATGCATTGCTTTTCATTTCTTTTGCATGACGCATTTTTTGTGCATGTAACTTGTCTATGCTTTTATAGGGGATTCATTTTGTAAAATAACAAAGCATTTCATATAATAAATTGATGGTGTAACAACATTAAGTATCATGATATTTCATACAAACTCTGATATATCTTTTCTTTTGTTGCAGTAAGAGGCGACACGACAAGGCTGCGAGCAAGAATTGTTGGAAACGTTTTCGGATAAAACATATTTCGGATAAAACATATTTCGGATAATACATTAAAATGATTCAGTTCCATTACAGAACATCGATTATGTCTTCATTTCTGATATCACAATATTCTAATTCAAACATTTGTTTTCAAACAATGTTAGCGCATTGGTATTTAGTACATATTTCATAAAAAATCACATACAGTATATGACAATGTTAAGATAGGAATAAAGTTCGCTTATGTACTTTAAAATTAAAGAACTGATAAGTGACTATTTAGAAGTGATAAAAAAGACGTATACTGTGAATTATCATCTATAAAACAGATTCAATACAGTATCAAACGGATATTCGAGCTTATTTTCATGAATATTGTTAGAAACGTCAGTAATTCAACACTCCAGTCTGTTAATTATAAATAATGATAAATATTATCATATTTGACTTTTTATTTATTATAATTTGTTGTAGATTAGCCAAATTTAGCGTGCATGTTTTCAATTTTCCTGAAATAAAGAATGGTATTATCCACAGTGTTTGTTCCTTTTTTCAATTAGTTTCAATTATGGGCAAATATATAAAAATAAAACATACATACATATTTGTTGAAATAAAACTGAAATATCAAATAAGGATTTTGATATTATAAATTTGTTTAAAACTTTCACTGCACTTTTAGGAGATAATTCTCTGAAGTAATCACTAAAAATAATTTACTGTTTTTTTTGTTACTGGAACATTTGTCATTTGTGACAGATCATCACAAAATATCGACAATTTTCGATCATAATATTCCTTGCAATGTTCCTTTTGACTTCTTCTTTTACGCACAAACATTCACAAAAAAGTGCTGACATTGCTTTAAAACCAAACAAACATCTACATAATCAAGCGTACCAGACAGTAATTTGTCTGGTATTATTTGCATACAGACAAATGAAGATTAACAATAAATCTCAAAAGTCTGTCACTGAAAACAAATCAAGCCAACAATAATTGGTCCGACTCTGTCATATTGGTGTAAATCATTCTGCCAAAGAAGTCTTCTATAGCTTACTTTAGTTATTCAGAATCGCAGCTTTTTGTCTATTCTAATGCTTAACCAGGTCAGAAGCATAACTTTGTCTATGCGTAGACCAACTTCTAGTGGGATAACGGTTTGGGAACTTGCTTGCTCCGAGTTTTCTGGGTTGTGTATTTGGTCTATGTTTTTGTAGTTAAATTTGTTCAGGGGATTATATTTAACTGCAGGAAGATAAATAAATTGTTTTCATTTGTTTCATGGGAAAGAGTGTAGGTCGCGGCCTTCGCGGGCTATAGGACGCTACGCAACTGGCAGTGTATAAGAATGAACCCCATAAACATTTGACAATAGTGCAAGATCAGGTTTGCTAACGTTCCACTAGACAGTAATACTAAGGTTTAAAAGACATTAATGTTAAAGTTTTATTGAACAAAATAACTAAGGTTTCACTAGAAAGTAATAATAAGGTGTCACTACACGGCAATGCTAGACATCAGAACAAAGTTTTCACTTGACAAAAGTGGTTGTTTTTTAGACATCAATGCTAAGCTTTCTATTAACTTAAAAGGGTTTTACTTGACAGCGTTGGTATCACTTGAGAGCAATGCTAAGATTTCTCTAGACAGTAATAGACAGCAATGCTTAGGTTTACAAATATAACAATGATAAGGATTTAGTACACAAAGTTCAAATATTTCACTTACAACAAAGCGAATGTCTCACAAGTCAAAATAATACCTGGGTTGTATTAGAAATAATGCCAAGGTTCCACTAGACAGCAATGCTTTTATGTCAATATGCAGCAATGCTAAATGTATATTCCACTAGACAACAATGCTAAGGTTCAATTTAATAATAGTGCTACGGTTTCACTAGATAGGAATGCTAGGGTTTCACTAGATAGCAGTGCTAATGTAAGTTCCAACTAACAACAATGCTAAGGTTCAATTTAATGATAGTGCTACGGTTTCACTAGATAGGAATGCTAGGGTTTCACTAAATTCTACCGTTTAACTAAACAGCCATTCTAAGGTTTTATTAGACTGATCGAAGTGCTAAGACTTTACCACACCGCAGTGCTAAGGTTATACTAAACAGCAATGCTAAGGTAGCATTAGATAACAATGCTAAGGTTTCAGTAGACAGCAGTTCTAAGGAGTGCCGACGTGTTTCTGGTCAGCAGTGCTATTGTTTCACCGGACAACAATTCTACCAGTTCACTAAACAGCAATGCTTAGGTATTAACAAGACTGAAATGCTAGTACATGTATTGGTATAACTAGATAGCAGTACTAAGGTCCCATTTGACAACAATTCTATAGTTTCAGTGGGAAGCAGTTCTAAGAGTGCTGAGGTGTCACTAGTCAGGCATTCTACCGTTTCACTAGATTGAAGTGCTCAGGTTTCAAGAGACAGCAGTGACAATGAGTGCTTAGGTCTCACTACACAGCAAATCTAAAGTTTCAATTGACATCAGTGCTAATGTTCCACTATACTAGTGCTGAGATTGCACTAGAGCAGTGCTAAGGTTTCATTAGACATCAGTTCTACGTCTTTTCTATACAACATTTCAAAGTTTACAAAAATGTTTCACTTCACAAAATGCTTAAGTTTCAATAGGCAGCAGTGCTAAAGTTGCACTAGACAGCATTGCTACGGTTTTATAAACAACACTTTAAAGTTTGCAATAGACAACAATGTTATAATTTCACTATACAAAATGCTAAATTTTCACTCGACAGCAATAATAATGTTTCATTAGTCAGTAATGTTATGGTTTTACTAGTGAATAATACTACCGTTTCACTAGACAACAATGCGAATGTTTCGTTTGCATGTGCATATCAGGTTGACGGTTGAATTTGCAGCAACAAATACCTCAATAACTTCCTCAATACTTTAAAATGTAGTATTTTATTTTGACGATCATGCACAATTATAAGTTCTGATCAGCATGAAAATGCTATTCTTCAAGGAATTGCAATATACAACATAAATAATATTTGAGAAAAAAAAACAAAAACAAAAAAACAACAACAACATGCTCACACCCACTTTCATTTTAACTTTCTTCGGCCATTATTCCGTATCGCATGATCTCACCTCGCTTAAAGAAGTATCGTGCTATACGTTCGACCCCTGTAATCTGGCAGTACATTTTGGATGAAACATTGATTTATCTCTCGTCAATGCATTTAAATGCTCGTTTTATACAAATGATGCATGATATATGCATACTATACAAACTAATCTTATTCGTATGCGAAAACATCAAATTTGAATTTCAATGTATTCAGTTGACCGAATATATGTGTCTGACATGCAAATGTAAAAACAATATCTGACGAAAATATATAACATTTTTGTTTTTTACAACTTACCGTGGCTTGGTGTACAATCCCTACATTTGCTATAAGCATTTCAAGCGTAAATAAAAAATAAAAAAATGTATTTTTTGGAAATACTTATGACATAGAAATCGAAAAATAAATGTTGCTAGAATTTTAAGTGATTTAGAAATAAATGACAATTCATATGATGAAAAATGGTATTTTGTTATATAGAAGTAAAATCTAGTATGTTAAATGAAAACTCATTTTACATGGGACGGTTACATTAAATCAGATAGGCACATTTATCTTTTAATCTGTCGTACAGCCTATCTGTTACTATTTTATTACCAAGACAAATAGAGCGCCGTATAAACCTTAAAGGTCTGCGGAGCGAAGAATAGAATCTGTGTTGTTATATATCGGATAAATGCACAAATTATTATATTATCAAAGTTTGTTCTACTTCATAATGACTTTAAATTAACAATTTATTCAAATGTATTTCCGTTTTCTGACAAAGCATGCATGTAAACAAGTATTATTCTAGTAAATTTCTAGTTTATTATCACCATTCCCTGGAATCACTAAACTAACGTGTCTAATGTGTTAATCCGATGTGTTTTTGTGACACGAGTTGACACATTAAGATGACTTCTTATTTCTTTTTCTATGATTTGTTGATTTAAGTAATATTATTCTCTGAAATTAAAACGAATGGATAATAGAGTAATTTATACAACCAAACACGTGTCTAAAACACACACACAAAATCACACAAATATCCATATTTATAAAAAAAAACGTCTCACTTTAGTGAACATTTAGTGAAAGCAGGGATGTGAAACATTTCTCTAAATACAATACAAGTATACATTTACATAAGTTTTAAAAATCATTTTGTCTTTGAAATAACAGGCGTTATGTATATAATATACTTTTGGAAAATCGGGTAAATATGTTCTGGAGGATAGTGACGTTTCCTAGTTCACCAATTTAAGAAGTACATATACACATGATATATATTTTCACCAACACATTTCTATGTTTCACACAACATGATATGCGAATTAAGCATCTGGTGAATTTGAACATGTTTGTTAGATAAAGTTTGAATTTGTCATTATTTAAAGCGACAAATGATACTATGCGTTACAATGAAAATCTAGACTCTGCCTTGCGCCCTGTCCTATATTTGTTTGGGATCCTCCTGGGCTCCTTGCCGCTGGTTCTTGTGCTGCGTCGTGTGGGGATTGCTTTCATTGAACGCCGCCTTTCCTTGTTGATCATAGTTTGTACATTTATAAGGAATGCTTATAAAAATACATCATATTTTGAAGAAAATATTTAAAAACTCTTCTTTCTCTAGTATGCATTTTCTTCTTAAATTTATCTGTAAAGTGATAAATATATATTAAATCAAAATTCAAAGTTCGTCATTTTTTAACATTACTATACCCTTTTTGCGTGATATTTTGCTAGTTAAACTTTCAGCATTTAGTTGCACTCATGATACTTATGTTTGTTTTTAAATATCAGGACAAAAACCAAGTGCAATAACGTTACAAAAACGCTCACAGATGATTGAACGAACTGTTGGAAAAATGAATTAATGTATTATACTACTTATACATATTTCATACATCAATTACTTTTGTTATGTCACGCTGTTTTCTGCGGGGTTCGTCTATGCATTTTAATGCTTATTTTATTCAAAATGGTTTCAAGCATGTGGTAAATTATGGCATTAAACTACAACCGCTGTTATGCCTGCAATGATTAGTTTTTGTTAGTTCTATATAGGGAAATGAAATTGTCTGACATGCAAATGTTGTGTAAAACTTGGAAATGAAGGTTGTTTTAAATATTCATCTAAACGAGTTGCTTATCTTTCGAATTGAATTATTGAGTTAAACGAAATTCCTAGCCTGTCGGAAATTTCCACATATAAACAAAGAAGGCTAGCTTCGTTATTAAACAACAAACACTCCCCGTTCTTATTCCTTCCTTGTGTCCAATAAACATTTACTTGCTTTGCTGATCACTTATCAATTCTTTACATAACTAGTAATTGCAGAGTTTAAATGAATCATATCCTAAAAACAAATTTAAAATGATATGTTATGCATTTTCTACTAATTTAAAGACATTTTCTTTGTCAGTTGTGCTTTATCC